TCCCTCATCGTCTTGTCTTCAGACGTTTCCTCACCGAAACTCCTTCTGAAGTTGTCAAGCATGACTGCCAAGCCTGAACTTCCAAGAGGACCATCTCCAGGAGACCTTCTTATCCTTTCTACATCCGATTGCATATCCAGAGGTTACCTTTCAAGCTCCTTTTCGATCAAATCAAATCAAATTGTCGCAATCCGCAATTACTTCAAACAAAAACCAAACCTTACGCTACCAATGTTAGGGATTGACAATCCTGATGATGTGCTTTGACTCTGTGAACTTGAACCAACTTGATAACTTGCGTTAACAAGCAAACAGGAACCTCATCACAATCGCGCTCACTGAACGTATAGAAAGTTCGGATCCATTTTATTCGACCAAAACCTACCAAACCAACCAAACCAACCGGATAAGACAGCTAGTTGACTGAAGTATTCGTAACCGCTTACGTAACCCCTAACAGGAAGGCAACGGCGTCTGGATAAGCAGGGTGTGAGGTAGGACGAGATGGCAGAGGAGGCGCTGATCGCCCCTCCGGGCTGAGGACCGTAAGCAGAGGGGAGAGGGAGGAGGAGAAGCAAGGCCCGGAGACTGTAGGCATGGGGAGGAGATGGTTGAGTTGGTACTTCATTGACGCTAGATACACTACATGGAGCTCTCCTGCTGCTGCTCCTGCTTCTGCTGCTGCTGGCTGGTGAGGCTCGGAGTCGTCGGGCGCTACCTCCGCGAGCCCTTGCTCGCGTCCGCGCTGATGAGGACGCAGCCCTCGAGGTCTGCCTGACCGCAGCGGCTCGGCGGGGAGACGAGGAAGTTGCCCCTCGCGTCGATGGACCGGCTCATGGTCCTGCCGGTCGCCTGGAGCGCGTGGAAGTAGGAGCTGTGCTGCTGGACGCGGCCGGCGGGGGAGATGGACGGGGAGGTCGGGGAGCCCTCGGGGAGGCGGCAGGGACGGGCGGCAGGGACGGAGGAGTCCGGGGGAGGCGAGGCATGGAGGCTTGTCTGACGGTTGGGGTCGGCGGGGGAGGAGGGCGGCAGAGGTC